CTAAAATTAGTGTGATATGCGAATAATAACGAATGTGAATAGATTGTGATATTATTTTATAATTTTGAACACAATATATTATATATTTAAATTTGAACACAATATATATATATATATATATATATATATATATATATATATATATATATATATATATATACCTATTGTAAGGGCGAAGTGATTGTTTGGTAAAGGCCCATAAAGAGTGGGCTTATGTTTGTTGCACCGAACTACGATCAAAAAGGCCCTTTTGCTTCCTGCACCTCACAAAAATAGGAAAAGACTTAGACATATTTTTATCAATGGACCATATCACCGTTGTCACGGTTGCTACCTTTGTCGCCTTTTCATAATCATCGCTGCCTTATAGAAAGAAGAAGTAAGAAAATGAGGAAAAAAAAAAACTAGTTCTGAAAAACTTTTTCTATAACTCTTTTTTATGTATTACAGAAAGTCTATTTCATTCTAAAAAGCATTATATAAGTTCCAAAAAGTTTATTCAGCAAATTCTTTTATGCAAAACCTGTTCTAAAATTCCAGAAATTTTATTTCGAGAGAAAATTTGTTTCAAAAGATTTATTTCCTAAATTCTGAAAAAGTTGTTCCTGAAAAACATGTAATAAGAAAATCACTTACTTGAAAATTTGGCGGTACACAAAGAAATTATGAGGGTATAGGAAGTAAAAGCTTCAAAAGAGAATGACTCTTGGGCCCAAATAAACAAACAACTAAGTGGATAAACTAATCTAATTTAATTGTCTTAAATTTGAGATCCAATGAATAAAAAAAAACTCAGGAAATACTTTATCACCTAATATATTTTTTTCCTTTTAAGGTTTACAACTAAATTATCACCTAATAAATTATTTACTAGCCCTACCATTTTAATATATCTATGTAAAAGCTACCTAATTCCATAATTGGAAGGATTAAAGTATCACTCTGGCCTAAATTCTCTCCAAACAAATCCTTGATCCGACCAACCCAGTTTTTCGTGGTTGCATAACATCGCAAATTCTATATATAATTCCTCTATATTTCATTATTTTCTTATTTAAAAAAATCTTATTTACCTTCTCCTTCTCTTTTTTTCCTCTTAAAAAAAGTATAAGAAAAATCTTATATTTTTAATAAGTACATGGTAAGTCTCTGGATCGGTTATAGTGATCATATTATAAAGCTTTATAAGAACACGCAAAAGAAATAATCTATGCTAGATTTTGTTGCAACCTGCACTTTACAAGCTGTTAGTATTATTAGTATTTGTTCTAAAGCGAATTCCAAGGATTCTTCATTGAGAAAATGGCTAATTAGCACAAAAAATTGTTATTTGTTGCCATGAGTGGCACTCTTTGGCGCATAATCAGCTGATGCTGTCACTTACAATATTCTCTGGAATTATCCATTGTCTATTTACTGTCATGGGTAGAACAGAAAAACCAACGTCATCGCTTCAAATTCAAATCTAGTTAACAAAACAAGTGATGATGCTGAAGTGATAGTAGGAGTATTGTAGGTAGGTTGACACAACAATCATTCCTCGTATCTGCACAAAGCAAACAACTGACATATTCTCTTGTATAAAATCATATGTGAAAAATGTTACATAGAATATGATATCTGTACATGATTTGCATAACTTTACTCCTTTAACACTTGAAGAATACGTACACAGAGATGAACACAAAATTCAGGGTCAAATGTGAAAGTAAACATCATGAACAGAGTTTTGGCAGGTACGTAGCATTGCTCATGATATGAGTCCCTGACCTCTTTAGCTGGGACCCGTTCTGCATTCCTTCTGAATCTCCTCTAAGCTCTTCCCCATCATAGCTTCTCTTTTCAACATCCTCTCTCACCTCTATGTTCTTGAAGCTTTTACGAAATACGGATTCAAAAAAGTTTTTCAAGTGATCATTTTCCTGGAGCAAGGTTTTCATTCTGCTTTGTTTAGTAACGTAAGCTCTGGGTTTTGCCTCTGAAGGAAACACCAAGTTTCGAGTAAGATTTCTCAGAAGTTCTGCTGACAGCTTCTCGTGGTTCAGTGTACAACAGATACTTATCTTCTCTTTGTCACTCAATCCTGCATGGACCTATCAATCTATATCAATGACTGCAAGAAAACTTCATATAACACTACACATTGATAAAAAAATAAAAGTAGTTGCAGCAATAATCAATTAGAAGCCGCAAGCTTTCTAAAGTGAAAAGTTGCATTCAAGTATCACAGTCTTGCAATCATAGAACAATGCAAAGTGGTAGTTTACCTTGAGATACATGTCCATGGCTAGGTATAATTGATCATGAGATTCCCTTGCAGTATCTGGGAGCACGGTAATCAATGCTTCAAACTCAAAAGGTTTGAGATGGGGATCTGGAGCAACTTCCACAAGGAACAAATCCATCATTTTCGCAACTCTCTTCAGTCTATTTGAATCTACCTCAGAACTGTGTCCAAAGAAAAATATGTGTACGAGTCTAAGGACAAAACCAACATCATATGCTTGACCCCTCCCACGTGGAGATGGAAGAAGTAGATAATCAATTGTTGTTTGATCCAGAAGAGGACCTATAAGACTTTCTATCTTGTCTACGAAACTTGTGCTCATTTTCAAACCTACAGCCATTCGATTTAGATTGAACAAATCCTTGCAAGAAATTGATCTCAAATCTAGCAGCAAAAGAAGATCGATAACAACCTCGGTAGTCTCAGTCTTCTCATCCTGTAGAGCACCAAGACAAGTTGAGTTGTGATAGTAGAACAGGAATCTAGAGACCACACCATGATCAAAATCATAAGATAGCATTGTCCTTGTGACCTTGTCCAACAAATCAATCTTCAAGAACAGAAGATGTTCAAACCACCATGTGGCCCCAGAGCAGTTATTTCTGAGGCTGTTATTGCTGCTTGTATCACAAGAAAACTGGAAGCTGGATCTGTTGGAGGAACATGTATTTGGACTGGTAATGCCAGGTGATGCCAGTCTCTCTATCAAGTGATCCATAATTCTGTCCAGAATGGCCAAATAACCTTTAAAAGAAAATAAGTCTTGACACTGTTTCAATGCTTCAACGAGCTCAGACCAAGTCCAGAAACGAATTCCTTCGAGAAACTTTTCAATGTGGGGCTTCAAGTTGGGTGTTTCAGGACCATCATCACATTCCATCTCCATGAAATGAGCAGCAGAACACAGCAGGGACATGGTTGATGGAGATGGAGTTACCTCCATACTGCTTTAGTGTAGCAAAGTCGTGCTATGAGCTAAAAAGCATGTGTACCCATGGAAAGTCGCAAAATATAATTTTCACTCCCACATTTATGACCAAGAGTAACCAAAAAAGTTGCTAAATTCACGGGAGAAAGGTGAAAGAATATTCTGCAAAGCAGAAGCAGAAGTATTGAAAACTATTTCATTTCTTTACCAAAGAAAGTAAAACAGTGTGCAGTGTATGAAAGTCACAAAATAAGGCATACAATTTTCAGGAAAATAAACAAAATAACATTTTTTCAGAGAACATGTTTATGTTCTGCTATATTTGATAGTATAAGGAAAAAAAGATACCTTGTAATTTTAACAAGAAACTCTTAGGAGGAGGACTTAAGTCTAATTCAATTCTCGCTTGCCATTTTTAAAATAAGTTTTACACTGAGTTAAATACGGTCTAATTGTGGCCCAGACAGAACAATGTTCTAACAAATTTCGGTAGGATAAGCTTTAATCTATGCTATATATTAAGAAATAGACTTAAATATAACTTAACTCTAAAAAAGTTTTATAAAATAAGATTTGCATTCATTTGTATATTTTAAATTGTTATTATTTTCATGGGAACCATCATACTTTAAAATCTATTTTTAAAATACTTAACTAACACTGATAATTTTTCTTTATTTTTCACTTCGTGTGACATTCTGTCTCTCGTAACAGGGAAGAGCAAATATACCCACAAAATAATACATGTGATGATGATAAAAGAAAAAGTGCAGGAGAAGATATTTTAAGAAAATATATGATGGGGGTGATGTTTGTAAGAAGGGAAAGACATAGGTGATGATGCAGTTCGTGCAGAGCATGATGACAGGAAGGGTGAAGCAAGCAGGTCCACATGCCTGCCACACTTTAAGCTGCAATTAAATGTTAAGTGTCTATTTCTCATGCTGTTGGGAGTAAAGACCATGCGCATGCTAGTTAGTCACCAACCGTTTCACTCAAAAATATAGAATAAAATAAAGAGTTTCACCTTGCTGATTATGAAAGCTTTATCTCCATTATGGTATTCACTTCAAGATCACACTCCATTGTTCCAGCATTAATGAGTATGCATGCCAAAGATGCATTTAAGGATTAGGAAGTTTGGGTGGCGTGTCTGTAAATGACAAAACACCAATCAGAATAGGGAAGCTCGTGGAACAAAAAGAATCATTAGTAACAAAAAAACCAGAGACGGATTATGTGAACAGAAAAGGTTAAAAGGTTGTTTTTTCTGATCATAGTCAACAAAGGAAGCGAGCATGTTGGTGTTTTCTGCAAAAGTAAATAAAGGAAAAGATTGGTAACATTAGGCAGAGAAGTTGATAACACTGGGCGAAAATAATAGAAGTCAACACAAAAAAGATAGGTAAAGGTTTGATTAATTAATTTATTAAAACTAAAAAAATAGTGCAAACAGCGTAATAATTAAAATAATAGTATAATAGCAAAGGAGATATTTTATTAAAAGAAAAGAGGTTTCACAAGTTGTGTTTGTCCACCGAATTAAAAATGGAGACATGTTTGGAAGCAATTCTAGAAACACATGACACAGAGACAAAGAACATATAATGGTAATTAAAGTGAGCCAGAATTCAAAGTGAACAATGTATGGTTAACGTGGCACTTTCCTTTTTCCGTTACTCATGCCACCAATTTTTGGGGTTGTAACTTCCTTTGACCAACTAATTCACAAATCTATTGACCTGGTTCACTGTTTTTAAATTTCATCATAAATAATAATAATAACCTAACTTGTGCCTTAAATTACTTAATATCCCATCTGGGGTATCATCATTTTCAACACCGTTATTAGTACTAGGACGTGAATACCAACTCACGCCATTGATAGGGATTACTTGCTATTAATTTTTTTTATTCTCAATCAATCCATGCATGATTTGTCGTACCATAACAGATACAAGGAGTAGTACTCTGCATCTTGCTTAAAAATATGAATCGAAACACGAATTTATTCTATTTTATGACATGTTATAAGTCATCTTCAATCTATTGATCATTTCAAATTCTCAAATGGATCTTATATTATACACATCACTCGTTTTTACTAATTAATATGAACTACGAAGAAAGCAAAGAACTCCATCAGCATACCGGTAATCATGTGTATGCCTCATGTTTCTAGGATCAGAATAATATACCAAAACATAGATTTCAGAAATACCATGTGATGCCTTCGACAACGTCAATGGGCTTCCTTTATTAGAAAATTACTTAAGTTCTTCATATTTTAGATAAAGCTTAGAGTAAAAATGATAAACCTTTTTAAAAATTTGAATGTTGAAAATAAAATAGAAAAAAAAAAGTTGTTTTGAATACAACAAGAATTATGTTTGAGTGGGAGAATTGAATCTTAGAAAAGAGATGATAGTTAATATCCTTTATAATACTTTCCTGATAGAGTTCGAGTGGTGACCAAAAATCAAGAACCGCTCTACATAATATATATCAATTTGTAATGTTTTTTTTCTTTTATTTATCTATTTTATTCTCAAGCTTCTTTTTTTCTCTTTGTATTTTCTTTTTTGTGGTCTAAAGCAAAAAGGTTTATACAGATAATTCAGTGTAATTTCTTTTGTTGGAACATAAGAGCGTGGGCACGTAGTGATTACGATGGGAGTGTTGTGATGTGTTTAATTTGATTAATAGGTGGCTAAATTATTCTCACTCATTTCCACAACAACATCACCTCGTATTTAATGATCCATCCATCCATCACTTTCCTGTTAATCACACCACCCACCGCTCTTGTCGGCCTACACTCGCTACTAACTACAACCCCTACTTTTTACTTATTCTTTTTATATTTTTTATTTTTTACCATAAATAGATTTCAATTGCACACTAAAGAAAAATCATTATTTGGACAAACACATGGAACCATGTTTCCATCACGATGTCCTAACAGTCTGTAATATGTTCTTTGATAGTGTTTACCTAAGGATGCACCTCACCTGTCTAGTTCTTAACTTCCCCTCTACTTTTATATTCAGTGGTGGTTCATTCCCACCATTATTTCTTTCCTTCACTCTACCACAATATACAATAACGTTTTATCAAATTTAATATTTTATTAAAAATGTAATTATATAATATATGTATTTAATTAATAGTGATGTCAAGATATATTTTTCTTTTATATTTTCTTCCAGCCTCAAGATTCAAAACCACGTATAAACTGTTGCAAATTTTTATTTTAGCTCTTATGCCAGTCTTTGAAAATAGTAATGTATTGTGAATAATTTTCAGATAGAATAATTTTGTATCCATAACTGAAATTTCAAGATTTCACCTTTATTTTAAGAAAATAAAAAAAGACTTGATAACTAAATTTTAATTTTTTTTAGCCTTCAACTCAAAATTAGAATAACATCTTGATTTCTTTAGGTAACAAAACCTGCTTTCATAAATCTAAATATTTGTAATTTTTAACTTTTAGCTTGAATACTTCAGAAACCCTGGTTCGAAAAACTAAACTTTTCTTACACACCAAGATCATTCGGCAAATTTACCCAAACAAAACTAATTAATTATTGAAACATTTTCAGCAGTTGTTCAAACCCACACTTTATTTTCTAATGTTAATAATAATATTCTCAACCTTTACTCTTTTTGGCAATAGCTCTATGTAAGTTAAAACAAATGCAGTTTCAGCCGTAATGATAAACAAATATGATTAACAAAATTTAATATAAATTCAGTAATATAACAAATACGAGGCTTCCAGCCGGCCATAATTTATGTAAATAGTAGTCTCAAACTTCATTTACCAACCACGATGCCCTAAAATATATGTCAATAAAGCAATTACTAAAATCAATATATAATATATCTAAGAAATTGCTTTCTACATGTATTCTACATTTTGACTCACAAATACCAAGATAAATAGTATGTATACATATCACAGTCACGATACTTCAGCCGGAGACCGTAATCGGATTTCATGTCACCTATACTCGGGAAAAAGTCAAGAAAAAAATATTCCATTATAATTATATTTTGAAATATCAAAGAATTTTCAGTTTACCCTTGGCCACAGAATCCTTAACAAGTTCCATATGGCAAGAAGCTTTCTGAGCTCCAGTCAACCCAGAACAGGTGCCGCTGGCCCCCAAAGTGACAGCAAAGTAAAGATAAACAGTACAGAGAAGAGTTAGCAGAACAAGAGCAGATAAGAGGAAGCGATGCCTCTGCACAAGTGTGGACCAACTACCCAGTTCATCCTTTGTAAACTGCCTCCTGAAAGAGGGAGACTTCAGTCGAGGAGAAGATAGTATGGAGTCAAGAACCATGGCTTCAATATCAACCTTTTCCAAACCCCTGAAGCTGCAAGTCATGCAAAAATACCAGTAAAATTTTTACTCTTATGTAAGTGCCATGTAATATAAGGATTAAAAAATGACATTAGTATAGCAATCCAAATCCCATCCTTCCCAGTGTGTTTTTTGGTTTCCCTGTTCTACACAATCACGTAGACATACTAACTATTTTTTGGCTTCTAGAAACTATTCGATGGGTTTTTAATGTCAACAGCTACAATGTGACTGGAAGAGAACTTCATGAAATCATCGTCAAATATCAGTTCAGAATCTACTGGGAAAGCCTTCGTAAATTTGTCTTTGGCCTTCCCTCAAACAAAATTTAGACACTCGCCTAATAATCCTTAAAAAAGGAACAAGTGCCATAACACAGTGCCCTCACCAAATCAAGCCACGAGTGCAAATTCAAAGATGCCAAAGGCAAAGCTACCTAGGTTTTAAATAACAGTCCGCAAGTATGGCTTTGGCTACAGCATCTAAGGTTCTTGTACTATCTGCAAGAGCATCGCAAATTTCGGCCATCGCCAATTTTCAACAATATCCAAGATCGCAACAAACAATGGCTATACTCGCGATTTAAAACCCTCAACACTAGATAACCTCACAAACAAAGGCAAATTCATGATTTCACTCGGACTACAGATGAAACGAAAGAGAATAGCAACCCTCGACAAAAACAGCAAAACTCCCAGAGACAAAAAAGCAAGACGAGCCCCTTTCCTCCTATTTCACGATGCAAGTCTACTTTACAACTAAAAGAAACGTAGATCTTTCTTCTTTCCCAATTCTGACAACACTAAACTCAAAAATATCTGTAAGGGTGACATCTACTCGGCAGCAAAGAAATCAGAGTAT